GGCCTCTCAGCCTAGCCCACCAGCGAGCTCAGGGTCCCATGCATCCTGCCTCCTGCCTCCTGCCTCCTGCCTCCTGCCTCCTGCCTCCTGCCTCCTCTAGTGCCCCCTGCTGTTGGCCCCCATTTCTCCTCCAGTCTTCCATGAGCCACGTAAGGTCTCTCGTGCTCTCTCTCTCTCTCTTTATCTCTGTCTCTATCCCTACCTCCATTTCTATGTCTCTCTCTCCTTCCCTATCATGTAAACATGATTAGGTTTCTCCCATCTTAAAACGATTTTTAAACTGCCCCCCCAAGGCCATACGCCTCATGTGTTACCACCTGACTTCTCTCCGTTCTGTCACTTCCAAGAAATGCCCTTTTCGAGTGGCCCCTCCTCTCCCTGTCTCCTCGTCCTCCTCTCCCATTAGGTGTTGGCCCTTCATCACTGTCAGTCTGCTCCCCCAGCTCCAGGATCAGTCTCCCCCAGCCTGCTTTTCCATCCTGCGTAAGCTTCCCCACGGCATGCGATGCCATCCGTCTCCTTGAAGCTCGCTCTTCTCTACGCTCCTGCGACCCGCTCTCCCCGGGACTCTAGTCCAGCAGCATCGTGCTGGTCCCCACAGTGTCCCTAAGTGTTCTGTCCTGGACTGACAACGCTTCTTGTTGTCCTGGGGAGGTCTCATCCTTCTCATGGCTTCTTCCATCACCTAAGATTGAACTCCAAATTCTATATTTCTGGACCACAGTTTTCTCCTGAACTTAAGACCCACATAGCCACTTTCTACTAGTCGTGCCCACATGGGAGTACCACGGGCACCTCAGAACTCAGCATGCCCTCCTGACGGCCCTCCAGATGGGCCTCTCCTCCTGCTTTCTGGTCTCAGTGCTTTCACATCCAGGGCTCAAGGCCAGACCCCGCAGTCACTGTTGTCTCCCCTTTGTCCCCTGGACCCTCACCCGTTGGTGCGGTCCACGGCTTCTTCCTGTTCGGACCTCCCAGGTCTCTCAGTCTCCCCACCCCTCTGCCTGTGCCCAGCCCAGGAATCCACCAAAACATCTTCCGGGTGACTAGGAGCCTCCCGCCAGAATAGAAGCCCCACGGAGACAGGGATTGTGTCTGCCTTGCTCCCCGTTGCACCTCCCATGCTCCGCACTGTGGCCCAGTTAGTAGACACCCAGATGTCTGTCCAATGAGTGAATGGTCTCTCCACCCCCAGAATCGCTGGCCCTGACCGTTCTCCAGACAACAGTCAGAGGGTGATCTTGTAAAACACACAACACGAGATGCTAAACAGAGTGAAACCCTTCGTCGGCCCCCCACTGGCTGTTATCCCCCATCCCCCACCTGGTCTTCTCCGCAGACTGCACAGCCTCCTGCAGCCTTGTCTCTCGCCCCCTAGTCCATCGGGCCGTGCCCGGGGAGAGGCAGTGGTGCCCAGCGGTTAAGAGCCCCTACAACCTGCGTTTGGATCTCCAGCCCACCACGCCCTCGCTCTGTGACCTCGGGTAACTACCTGACCTCTCTGAGCCTCAGTTTCCTCCATTTCAAAATGGCTGTTCCAGTGCCTCACTCTCGGGGTCGCTGTCAGGGTGAAATGTGTGCCCAGAGGGGCTGCTGTCAGGTCCTCAGCACTGAGGCCGTGACTTGTGTAACTGGAAGGTGCTAGTTATCAGCTCTCACCGCCGTCCCGCAGTCTCACCGCTGAGCTTCTCGTGGGTTCTTCCCCACCCGAAGGGCGCTGCTTCTCCCTTCTCTCCCGCGCGTCCCTGTTCCAGCTTTGTGGAAATGCCACTGCCAGTGACACTGTGGAAGTTTAGGTGTGCAGCGTATGGTTCGGTTCCTGGGTATGTATTGTGGAAGGGTCGCCACAGCATGGCTGGCTCACACAGCCATCACCTCACACAGTTGCGGGTTTGCGTGTGTGTGATGAGAACTTCTAGGATCAACTCTCTTAGCAACGTTCAAACGCGCGCTCCAGTCTCGCTAGCAACCATCGCCGTGCCGCGCGCCACATCCCCAGGACTTACTCATCGTGTAGCCCGTGCCCTGGCGGCAACACCTCTGCACCCCAACGTCCCCCAGACCTGGCCACCGCCACCGCTGCACGCACTGTTGCTGCAAGTTTGCCTTTGTCAGGTTGGACTTGTAGGTGAGACCATTCCGTGTCGATCTTCCTCTCTGGCTTACATCACTCAGTGTGATTCCACAAATTTCTTCCACGTCCTCACAGATGGCACAATTGCCTTCTTGTTTATGGCTGAATGATACGCCTCTCCCTGTGTGTGGGTGTGTGTGCACTGCATTTTCTTTATTCATTCCTCCATCGATGGACACTTAGGTTGCTTTCACGTCTTGGCTATTGTCAGTTAGGCTGCCACGAGTCCCGCTTGTCCGCCCACCTGCTTGCTCCTGCTCAGGCTTCAGGCCTCAGCTTGGATGGTGCCGCCTCCAAGCAGCCTTCCTGTTGCCAGGACTGGGAGTGGGGTGAGGACAGCCAGGCACTCACCTTGGGCATAAAATTTAAAGGAGGTAGAGAATGCCAAAAAAGACCCCAAAACTCTCCATAATTAAGATAAATATTGTAATGTAATTTTAAAAATCAAGATTAATGCAAAATGTCTATGATTAAAAATATCAGCATTTGAACTAATAACCAGCACTGATGGCCAGGACCAGGGTGAGCCAATGAGGTGTGTCCTGCAAGTGCAAGGTCAGACCTGGTCTTCGTGTTAAGTTTTGGTACTTTTCTTCATGTTGGATTCAGTTATAGGTATTAATTTTGATTTTCTTCAAAAAATATATTATACTAAGGTATTATTTGTGTCAATCCTGAGTTTTGGGTGCCCCTCTAAAATTCTGTGCCCGAGGTCAGGGTCCCTCTCCCCACCCCCTGCTTTCAGCCCCACCCTCCACGTTGGAGTTGGGTGTCCCCTGGGCGCTTCCACAGCCTCAGTCACCCCGAGTCACAAACACCTCTTTCTGTGCTGCATCCCGACGAGATTGCTCAGCCTTTGACAGCTGAGCCCTGTGCAGATCTCGAGTCTCTAGCACAGGCCCTGGCACACAGCAGGTGCTCACTGTGTGCTGCTGGTCGCACTGACGGCAGAGAAATAGGGAGGACTCAGGCACGTGGGAGGGCCCAGGGCCCACCCCAGGGCAGGGCTGGGCTGGGCTGGGCTGGGCTGGGCAAGTTCCTCCCTCCCTCTGAGGACACTGGTTCCCTTCAGCTGACCACGCCCTCAGACCAGCTGGTGCTGGCAGGGACGTGGGAAGGTGTGCACCTGCAGTTAGATCCTCCACAACCTGCGGAGACCTCTCTAGGAAACCTTAAATCGGGGTCCTCTCCAGGGGAGTAGGGTTCAGCTCTGTCTTTGAATGCTGGGCAGCCTTCTTCAGAGCTCAGAATGCTGCAGTGACAGTCCTTGCCAGGGTCTCACACGCCAGAGAGAGGGGACCCTGGAGCTCTGAGGCCGGGAGCAAAGGGCCCCCCTTCCCAGGAATGCCTCGGTATGTCCCTCCCCTGCCCTGGCAGGGGAAAGCCAGTGACGAAGAGGGGTCAGTCGTGCTGTCAGCAGGTGTGTGTGCAGGAGGTGAGGCCGAGAGGACGAGTGCGGTGAGCATCGGGTCAGCCGATCTGTGCTCGAGCCCTTGGACCTGGCACGAGGCCTGGGCACAGCGACCCCACGCCCTCCTTCCCCTCCCACCGAGGACCCTGCATCTTTGGCCGGGATCCCGTGCACACAATCCCAGCCACCGAATGCCCGGCTCCGCCAGCTCTCGGCAGAGAGGAGATCCTGGGGTGGGGGTGGGGGGGGGGAACATGAGTGTGACGTGACAGCCACGTGCCTGTCCACACAAGGCAGGCCACGGGGCTGGCCCGATCGGCCCACAGAAGCCCAGTCATTGTGGTAAGAAAGTTTCTGCAGAGTCATTCCCGGTAGCTCACACGTGGCCACTTCAGGGACTGTGGCTCCCGACAGCCCATAACGGTGTCTACAGAAAAGCCAGGGTCCCTTTGGCCTGACAAGCCTGGGAAGGTGTCCAAAAGCCTCCCATGACTCCAGCCCTTCTCTCCAAATCATGGGGCTCTTCCAGTCCTCCCCACCATCTGTCACTCCATCCACTGCTCCCCGGCGTTCCCGCAGAATGCCTTCCTCCCTGGGAACAGAGCTCCTCCTCCGGCCTCCTCCTCCGGCCTCCTCCCCCGGCTTCCACCTCCCGCTTCCTCCGCCCTCCCCACCCTCCCCTCCGGCCTCCTCCACGCTCCGCCCTCACAGCACCGACACAAGCCTGGTGGATGTGGGGGTGAATCCTCTGAGGAAATGCCAAGGACTTGGCCGGGGCAGATTCCTTCACTGCAGCGAGGCACCGCCCCCAGAGCTGAGCCCGGGCCCCCAGAGCTTCCGCGGGGAGCCCCCTCCTCGTCTGACTCACCACTGCTGAGTCGAATGAACTTAAAAGCATACCTAACGAGTCATTTGTTTCATTTCACCTGCTACTATCGCAAATTGAATTTTAAGAAAATATCTTCGTGGAAGTGCTTCCATATCAGAAAGCAGCCAATATTGATTCTCACTTAGTCTCTGGTCGGGGGAGAGGCAGGCAGCCAAGCCTCCGCTGCCTTCTCATCCTGTGCTTGCCTCGGCCGCCCAGGGATGGACCGCACTCAAGACCTGTCAAGTGGCATTAGTAATACAAACGCAGAGTTAAGTTCAGTAGGCAAGTCTCCCAACTCTGGGGCTCGTTAGCTGGTGGCGCAGGCTCCCACGGAGAATGTACACGCACCTTCCCAGGATAAAAACACCCAAACGGTCACGAACACTTTGCATGGACACAGAGGTGTGAGCATTTGGCAGCCGGAAGGCCCAGGACGCAGGGACTGCTTGTAAAGACCCTCCTGGTGTCGCTCTGAGCGCTGACTCAGGGCAGTGGAGCCGCAGAGCAGGTCATAGGGACCTCCAGCTCCACGAGAGGCATGAAGTCACCTTTTGTCTCTGTTTTCTGGCCTTTCTGTCTTTCAGAGATCGAGCAGGGCAGCTGCGGCGACCCCGGCGTTCCTGCCTATGGCCGGAGGGAAGGCTCTCGCTTTCGCCACGGTGACACACTCAAGTTTGAGTGCCAGCCTGCCTTCGAGCTGGTGGGGCAGAAGGCAATCACGTGCCAAAAGAATAACCAGTGGTCGGCTAAGAAGCCAGGCTGCGTGTGTAAGTGAGCGGGAGGGGGCCACGTTGGGGTCTCTGCCGAGAGACAGGGGCCCGTTCCCAACTATTCCAAGGGCCCCATCCTCAGTACCCACTTCACTCCGGTTGGTTTCTTCTGCTCCTCACAACACTGCTGTTTGGCTCCTCCTTTCCGGCAGTGGCGTAGACTGTAGTACTCAACGCGGTCGCTTTTGACATTTGGGGACCTTCTTCAACGCCGTCTTACCCTCACGGGTGCTCCTGGAGAGCAAGGGAGAGGCCACTGGGGCTTGGTCCCCCAGGCTCAGACCCAGGCATTTCCTCCTCACCCCTGTGGCCACCAGTGACACCAGACAGTCAAGCTAGGGCGGAAGGGACTGGCACGTGTGCAAGGCTATAGACTCTGCACCAGCCTCTGCGCACTGCGGGAGTCCGCAGCCTTGCCGGGGTGTAAGTTCTCTCAGACTGCTTCCTCTTGGACTGGACTTACGGAGGTGTGGGGACCACATTCTCTTTGGGTTGTTGATCTTCTGGGAAAAAGGTTGGAATTGAATGTCCTGTTCTACGGAGATAACATGGAGGCCTGTCTTCCTTCCTCGTAGGCGGTGTGGTCATTCTTTCGTCGAAAATCATCCTTTAAGTCCAGGGTCCCAGTGGGTTTGGCAAGTGTGAAGGGGCTGTGTGTGCTGCAGGGCGGTGCGGGCTTGGTCTCTATTGGGAAATCAGAAGATCTGGCCTCTCTGGGCCGTCACCTCTTCTTTGCCCAACCCCCACCCCCAACCTTCTCCACCTCTTTCAGTCTGCTCTCTCAGAGGGCGCAGACCGCCTGGACCTCGGCTCTTCCCTCCCACCTCAGCGGGCTTCCCGGGGCCTCCGAGTGCTGAATACTCAGGAGCCATGTCCCCTCGGGGCTGGGGCAGGGAGTAACCTGGCCGCCACAAGGGAACATCCCTGCTGACTGAGAGTGTGGTGTATGAGTTGGTGAGGTGGGTCACACCAGGTGATTATACTTTTCAAACAGAAAAAAAAATTCACCTTGTTTGGTTTCACAAAGCATTTCTGATGACTTGTGAGTTTATGTAAAAATTCTTGCAGAGGTTTAAAGATCAAATCTCTCTTAGATACACATTCAGCAAATCACTCTTACTGAAAGTAATAAAATTGCATGAAATCTGCCCATCTCTGTGGCCTGGCATGGGTAGAATACAGTGCCTGGCCGTGTTAGCCTTGTGGCACGCAGGAGGCCAAGGGGATGGAGGGGCAGAGCGATTAGCAGGAAGCAGGCAGCTCAGGGCGCCCAGGAGCAGGGGGTCTGATGGTCACAGAGACCGAAGTCAGGCAGGAGGAACCCAGGCAGGAATGGGTGAATGGGGCCGAGCTCCGCGGGGCAGGCTGGAGGTGGGGCCTCAGAAGGTAAAGGCACAGGCTACAGGAGTCCAGGATACAACGGGGGCTTTATCTCTGAAATCCAGCTGTGTCAAACAAGGCAGGGAGAACTGGGAAGGGCCAGGCCTCTGGGGCAGAGAGCTGGTAGGAATGAAGCAGGTGGCAGAGCCAGCCAGCTGCTTGGGAGCAGGCTAAATTTCCCTGCCCCACAGACTGAGAGGTACAGGTAGCAGAATGCTTCGGTGGGGTGGCGTGGGGGTTCTCACTCAAGTCCCCCCGGAATTTACGTGACGCTTTGGCTCTTAGGAGTAGTTTTTAGATTTTTCTAGAAGCTTCAGTGAGGGCAGAGGACCAGCAGGCTCTTAGTTTCCAGGGGCCAGGCTGGCAGCTTCCCCGGAGCTGGGCACGGCTTGGGAACAGCTGGGGAGAAGAGGGCAGAGCTGTCCCAGCGAGCACCAGCCAGGGCTGTCTCTGGTTTCAAATAAGGAAGGAGCCCGAGGCAAGTCAGTGAGAACGGTGACGCGGGTGGGCGGGCAGGCACTCTGGGGGCCAGCCTGGCGTTTCTTCTTCTGCGTGATTCTGGGATGTAGGGGGACGCCATCCCCAAGGCACTCCCGTCACTCCGGATTTCCTGGTCACTGGGATGTCCCAGAACACAGCTCGAGTCTCAGGGCCCCCGGCTTCAGTGGAGGAAGCCAGAGAGCGCCCACTGGCCCCATGCCTTCACGCCACAGAGCCAGGTCGCAAGCGTGTGTCATGAGAGTGAGGGAGCGCCACCTGGCGGCTCCACTGGGCTGGCGCCCCCCCAGGTTCTAGGTGCTGCCCTCAGGGAGCTCAGAGTTGGGCACAGGCATGGTGAAAGAGGGTGGTGATGAGACTGTCTTGGGAAAACTGTGGATTCAAACTCTGGAGACTCGTTTCTTCATCCCAGCTCAGCTCAGAGTCCTGGCTGTGGCCAGGGCATCCGCCCTCTGCATTTTGGTTTACTCACCTATCCATGGGGGTAGCACTCCCTTCTGGCTCTAAAAAGTCTAAGCCTCCGCGATTACACGTACAGAAAAGGAGAACCGTGACTTGAACAGTTCCCACATTTTCCATGACAGATGCTCGGGAACCACTTCCTAAAATGGGTCATCCGCACAGCGGGTCGCACTTTGATTAAAGGATGATGTTAAACTTTGGTGTCTGCTCCTGACCCCAGATCAAACGTGTGATAGTGTGAGGCCAGTGGAAAGGGGGCAGCGTCTGTAAGCACCTGTAAAAGTACAGAATAGTGCGGTCTCTGTGTTTTACCAAGTGGACACAAATGGATACGAAGGCACCTCCAGCAAAAGGCGGCTCAAGGGGCCTAAATTTTACCGCGCGTCAGTCACAATAAATATTAATGCAACACTCAGTAAACAGCACCGCTCGTTCCTCCTGAAAATTAAGACAGGGATTGGGAAAACATTTCGATGGTTCAAATTTCTTTGAACAATTGTCCCCAAAAGTGCAAAGCAGTGCCTTGTTCTTCTCTTGAAACATTTTCTTCAAAGCATCTCCTTCCCAGGGAGTTGCCCTGCTGAGACTACACAGATGCACTCCTTCCTCGCATTTCAGAGCGTTTTCCACGGCCAGCAGAGACTTCAGAATAATTGTGTTGCCTTTCGAGCTGCCCTCACAGTAGTAGATGCTCACTGGATGGTCTTTTTCATCCAGGTTTTAAAAAAGATGATGTTCTTGGAGCGGAAAGCATTTTTGAAAGAAAAGATGGAGCCAGCTTCCTCCCTCTTACTCTCTCTTCCTCCCCGGTTAGTTCGAGTCTCCAGGGACCACTGCTCAGAATCAGTTGGAACTAGTGCCACTCTCCATCCACTCAACAGGAGGGACTGAGTGTCTGTCCGGTGCCAAGTACCACGCACCAGTGTACAGCCCTTGAGTCTCCGCCGAGGAAATGGGCTCAGCTGGGTGCCCTGGGGAGAAATGTCTGACCAGACTGCCCTTACTCTTCACCTTCCCCAGGCTCTGACAGGTCACCCCCTCTCTTACATAAGAATAGAGAGCCTTTCCCATACTTCCCATGTCCCGTGACTCCTCCACAATAAGGAAGATACAAATGACTCTGATGGTGAGTAGTTTGCACAATACTTGATGCTTCAGTTGACAGGCTAGCAGAAAGCTTCGCACTTCATAAAAAAAGCCAGGAAACCAATTATCAGTCCATTAGCAGCCACTTTCAAAAGGAGTTACAACACAGCCTTCACCAGAGATGTGCCAAGACTGCGCAAACGCAAGCTTGCCTTCACCATTCAGTAAACCTCCCCCAGAAGGTGTGAACCCTAATTGCTCGGTCCCGAATGTATATGGTGTGTGTGTGAACCGTGAAGGCAGGGCCTCCCGGGGTGGATGAGGTGCAAGTGACAAATCAGCAGCTGAACTTCAGGAGACCAAGGAGGGAGAGGCAGGTCCATTGGGTGCTCCAAGAAAATGTCACAAGAGATACAGGACTTGAGCTGGGCCTTGAAGACTTGGGGGATGGGGCGGGGCAGAGGCAGGTGTTCTCCACAGGGATGCTGTGGGGCATGGCCCTCTCCCAGCACCCTCCCGACGACTCCTCTCTGAGAACCTCCTCTGGATACAGACACACACACACACACACACACACACACACACACACACTCTGCTGGACAGAGCGGTGGATTGGGCCATAGCATCATCAGGACTCTTCACCTCACCACTACTGATGTTTTGGACCAGATGACTCTCGGGGGCAGGCTGGTGCGCACTCTAACATGTTCAGAAGCATCCCTGTCCCGCACCCACTGGGAGGCAATAGCACACACACGCCTTTCCAACAGTTGTGACCGCCCTGGGAAAAACACCCCGAAGGTTAGGGACCACGGGTCTGGGGTAATTTAGTCATATCCAGCTCTGCATATGGGGGGATCGGGGCATTCACATTCTCACTGAGGCTAGGACCAAACTCAAGGGCCTACAGATTCACGACGGGGAAAAGGTGCGGGGTTGGGGAAGGTATTTATTAAATGTTTTATGTCACGAAGAAGAATGCCTCTTCCCTACAACTTAATGGAATGTTTATTCTTGCATTTTATGGATGAAGACAAGTTCAAGGAGACCAGATCACTGGCTCAGAGGTTACAGAGCCATGAAGTGCTGGGCTCGAACTTGAACTGCTAAGGACAAAGCAGGCTCCGACTCCAGATTCTTTCCTCTCTCCATGGCACCCAATTTCCAGAGTCCAAGGGGTCGTGTGCAGCAGGAAGGACAAGGAGGCCCGAGGGCAACACTAGCATAGAATACAGGAGCTAGTGTTTGGCTGAGTTACTCCCATGAAGTGCCAGGGATGATAGGACTTAAATCCAAGAGGGCTTCGGCCATGACCTTCATCAGAACTAGACCAGTGCTGGATACCTACTGATATGTCCTGTAGCCATGTAGAAGCCTTTTCCTCATTTTTCCTCGTTCCTCCTACCCCTCCATTCACCTATCCATCTTTGATGTATCGAGCACCTACTCTGTACAAAGTTGTCTGCGTAAGGGTGTCTGACTCTTCTGGTCACATTCTAAAGTGGAGGGCCTCTGGGGAGGACCCTGCCCAGGCGTGGTGAAGGGGGTTTCTTAGCGCCGTGCCCTGTATA